AGATTAATGGCTACTGTTCTGCATGCTGAATTTGGTCTGTACTCCTTCTGAAGTATGAGCTTTGGCCTCTGCTTCCCATTTAATTACAAAATGAGTATTTTTAATTTTTTTTTTTAGCTCAGAAACAATTCCTGCAAAGCAAGAGCCTTCATGATCTTTTCGCAAGTATGGTTAGACAAAAATATCTTCAGGTCATTCATTTTTCAAGAAAAAGAAACACATGCTGGGTTCTTTCTAAAATGAAAGTGCTGAGCTTTTCTCCTTTAAGAAATAAGTTGCATGCTTCAGGTTTAAGTGCAATATACAGCTCACTTAAAAGTTGTTTCCTACTTTACATGTTGTTAAAAGGGACTTGACCTTTCATAGCCAAGTATGAAAATATAAAGTAAGTGGAAATACACCTTGCAATAGCTAGGTAGCACTTGGCTGCTTTAAGAACCGGACAGCAGTTCGTGGTGATCAGGCAACCTTTCAGCAAAGGTGGCCCAAGCTCAGGGAAAACAGCACCGACAGGCACTTGATGCTGTTAGTACCTAACCCAACCCAACTCCTTCCCACACAACTTTCAGTATGTCTTGCAAAACATCTTGAAAATAATTTTTGAAAAGCATGAACAGACATTACCAATCCCAGCCAGTCAGCAACCAACCCACTGAAGTAACTTCTATATTCTGCTAATTCTGCCATTGCAGATCAGTGCGTAGTTTTACCTATATTTTGTCCAAATATCTGTGTCGAGTTCCTAAAAACACTGGCATTTGGGCTACTTCTACATTACTGATAAAAGAGTATTAAGAGATTTTTTTTTTTAACAGCATTGAATTATATTCCTAATGAAAAACGTATCCCCCCCCCAAATGAATAAACATTTATAATCTGCCTACAGAATGAATTATGATTATTTTCTACCTGCAACTGCACTCTACTACAGCTACAGTTTTCAGCAAGACAACTCACAACAGTAAATATGAACTGGTAACTCTCAAGCCTAGTGACAAATGTTTACTGTTTGTCCTAATCCATGCTGCTTTTACAGCTGCTTTCTTTGCTTGAATTGCAAGGTCCTGGTTCCTTCCCCCAGGCCTCACCTCCTTTATATGGATCCTGTTGGGGCTTGAGTGCACTTCCATCGCCCTAGGGGTTTAGCTGCCAGAAGGGCTCCATAAGCACCATCCAGCTCTGCTTCTCTCCTTGTTGAAAAAAATCTTAAATTCATAATACCTCATAACGCTCTTCTCTGTGCTGTCCTAATGGCATCTTTATAGCTAGTGACCTGCCCATGCAGGAAGATCCTAAATGAGTTCTCCATGCAGAAATCCCACAACCAGTTGCTCTGGCTACACTATTTGTTTCACAGCCAGCTACAAGCTCAAGTCTCTATCCAGGATCACAAACTACAGTAGCTGTTCCATGGCCATAATGGCTGCTCAAACCGAAATTGTAATTTTCTTGGAAGCTTTGGATCATTTCAAGGTAAGTTTTCAGTTCACCATGATAACCAGTGACAAGCAGCTCAGCTGACCAGTACGTGGCTATCTCTGTACTCCAGAAAGATCAATGCAACAGTAGAACTCAGATCTCCTGGAAAGCCTGTTGTGGGTGGAATGACCAAGGGCTCACTACCCCAGCAGGCCAAACACTCTCACTGAGCCAGTGCTTTCAGCAGAAGCAAATAACATACAGCAATGGCACCACGCCACTTGCGTTCAGTGTGGATTAGGCTCTTTTGGTGCTTGGTATTTTCCAACAACAGGTTCAAAGTCATCTTCTGCAGACCTGATTTCTACACATTGGTCTTGAACAACTGCCAACAGTCTACGGTTGTGACAAAGGGCATGTCTCACAGTACCTGAATGAAGAAAGGAAAGCAGATGTATTGACAGCGATCAGGGTCAGACAACAGTCCAGTGGTTGCTGAACAATTCCACCGTGGAGAGGCACACCAAGCCAGGTACTCAACATGTCAGCATCCAGATCAGCGAGGTACGTGGCTAGACAACACGTAGCTGCAACCTAGCTGAGGCAACGACCAAGGCCAAGGGCCTGAGCTTAAAGACAACCCATGAGTGAAAGGGGAACCCTGACAACACTTCTCACAGCTCTTTCCACAGCAGTCTGACTCAAGGTTACGTGGCTGCACCATACCCAAGATGACCTTGAGCACTGGCAGCCAACTGAACTACAGAGGATGGGGCATTTGGAGCCCTGACACCTCCTATCCTACCAATACCTACTGCTCCTCCTTACTGGTGATGGTGCAGATACCAGTGACAGCAACAGCAGTCAACAAAATTCCGACACCCTTATTCACAAGACATCAATTTGTAGCATCATTTTAAAAAACCACCTGCATCTATTTTCCAACTGTGTTGTTTCAGCAAACCTGTAAGTAGTCCAGACAATAAAGCTGTCTGCAGTTTAGGAGGGGCAGGAGGAAGAGGAGCAAGCTCCCATCCCATGCCAGATCAAAATATTTCCTTTTTATTCTGCAAACAGTACATACACCATATGATCCAGGTACAGAAAGTGTTTTAGAATTAACTTTAAAAGCAAGACTGCAATTTTTGTTGTCAAAGAAATCCTGATAGTATAGTCCACAAGGCTTCACAGATGTTCTTAAAAATAAGGCCAAATATGGTAGCCACAATATAAGGGTAAAATACAATATATCATCTCAAAATTGTAGTTTAAAGATTATATGCAATTTGTCATAAAGCAATACCTTCTCTATTACAACAAACTAGACCTACTAGAAACAGCTAAGTGGCTTGTGTCCCTCCCGCCTCTTTTGACATTGAAGTTTTAGCTCTTACAGCTGCTAAGAGGAGTACTTCTACTAGAAATTTAATATTATACTGCAACAGATGATGTCAAAAGGACAACTGTAAAAGTAGCATGGATTGAGACAAACAGTAAACATTTGTCATTAGGCTTCAGAGTTACCAATTCATTTTTACTGCTTATTATTTCGTATGTATTGTTCTGACAGGCTGCATTTTAGAAGCAGATCAGTACTGGTAACATTAGAGCAGCTTGTGAGATAAGGTACATGCCAAGAAACAAAGCAACTTCTGTATACATATATGTATTGAAGAGATGCTTTTCCCCTCCCAGCATCAAGGAATTCCTCTAGGTTATAACACCAGAGATCCAAATAATTTCCTACCACCTGAAAAATGCAAAACAATCTCCCAGTTATTCCTTAATTGCTTACAAGTCCACTCTCATCACCTATTAAAAAAAAAAAACAAACAACCAAAACCCAAACAAAAACCCCCAAACAAACAACAAACCAACCCCCCAAAAAACCCCAAAACAAAAAAACCCTACAAAAACCCCAAACCATAAAACTCCTTAATCTCTACTCTACTACTGTATTATTCAGTGTACCAAAAATTTAGGGTTTAGGAAAGTAGATTTCAGAACAGTTTCTTAAAATTTGTTTCCACAATTATGTATTTGATTGGAGCAACAACAGGGATAATAAATTCACTAACAAGAACCTTGTTATCGTATTGAGACAAAGGATTATTAAGATTCATCACTGTAACATTTCATCATTCCGATTCCAACCTTGGTTTGTTTCCCTGACGTGCACCTTTAAAAGATGGTGCTTCTCTCCTTCCAAAAGGCAGCGTCTATCAGAGAATTAAGGTGATTTGCGCAGAGTGAAAAGCAAAGGCCTGTCTACAGGTCAGGCAGCTGCATTTATATTCCCTTGACAACAAGCACAGTCCCTATTCTAACTCAAGGGAATTTTATCGCGTTTCCCCCCCCCACTCACAGACCAAAATTAGAGTCTTCTAGAATGCATCCAGTCCCACTTCAGACAGAGAAGGATACGGCTCTTAAAAGGTAGAGAAATCATGATTTCTTAATATGTGAAGACAAGTGCTACTGCTTACAAGGAGCAGGCTTCTGAACATATATTTTTTTTTAAACTTTCAAAGCAAATTTTTTTCAGTCTGTGGGATATTAATTAAAAATGTAATTTTTTCAGTACTAACAGAGCTACACACTATGTTCAGTGAAAGCTGAGAAGCAAAGGTAATTGAAAAGCTGTATCAGCTGTGTTTCTTGCATATAAATGCCATTGTTCAAGGTGTGCGGATCCCAGCTAATACGTATTCTGCTTTCATAAAAAGTTCTAAACCAAAACCACCTTAAGGAAGACATTTAAAAAAAAGCGCTTTGTTTGGTTAGCAGCCAGCTAAAGAAAACACACACAAAAAACCCATAGCAATGCAAAATTTTACTAACTGCAAAAACACAGAACAAGAGACACACACTCGGTATTAGGCGAAAGTGTCATACCACCATGTATTTTCCCAATGAATTATGTAAAATGTAGATTTGCAACGTGCTAATTCTATAAACCCCAAAGAACATATTGGGTGAAGAAATTTAACATTCAAAACTGCACAAAGCGATAGGCACACATAAGAGCTTGCTTGTTACAGCCGACCCGCATCTCTTCGAGGAAATGCTTTCTGAATACATAAAGGATATTTTCATAACAAATGTCCTCCCCACCAACACTCCCAATTCTTTTACAAGCTGCAGCGGGTTTTAAAGGAGCTCCACCCGAACGATTCACACAAAAAAGGCTTTGAAGCGCTACCACACGTTTGCCCTTATTCTATAGAAACTGTATAGCGATAACTTGGCTCTTCCCTCCCCCCACTCAGTACCTTTCTGGGGTAGTGACTTCACATCCTTTGACATCAGCACAGCTTGAAAGGGGGATGGGAGAGTTACGGCAGAAAGCAGTAAAACCTGCTTTTAACTATGTATGCAATGCCTCCGCGAATTCTTAAATCTTCCCCAAACGCGTTTAGTGGCACACGGGTGTCGATCCCCCCCCGGTTTTAGCGCGGCTGGACACACCGACAGGGACTGGGCTACAAAGGACTTCCTGCTCCCCTCACCCCAGCACCACAATAGCCATTTATTAGCTCGTCAGAGGGTCGCGATTCACTCCCGCACGCACAATAACTCACCTCTAATATGCAAAAGGGCCACGGGCTGGAACGGCCCATTGGAATTGGCTGCGTCAACCACCATCCTGCTGCCAGCTCTGTTACATGTCAACATCTAGGCTCCAGCAGGCAAGGCAATGTATTCCTTAAGGCAAGAAACCAGCCTCCATTTTAGTTTAAAAAAAGACAGAAACTGAAGCGCTCTGCAGCTGGAGGGAACTGGCTAGTTAGTGATGTCAGCGGGCGGGAGGAGCCCCATTGGCTAACGGCAGCAACTTAAAATGACACCGAGGAGGCCGCGAATGAGCGGAGGCCGGTGCGGGGCTGTCACCGCGCCCTGCGCTCCCG